GGGCTGTGGACTCAATCCCCAGTAGAGGGCATGCAGGAGACAGCCAATCAATGATTCTCTCTCTCTCTCTCTCTCTCTCTCTCTCTCTCTCTCAACTATAAAATCAATAAAATATATTTTTAAAAAAGAAGTCACAAAATATAATTCTAAAAATTCAGGGACGGTTAGGAGCAGAGACATATCCAGAGAAAATCCTGTAACTTAGTTACCCACCAGAAGCGTTAAGCAGAAGAGAACATGCTGTTTCTCTGTGAGCACACAGGGTAAGAGGCAGCAATGAGTGAGTTAGTCAAGGAGGAAATTACAAAGCAAATATTGCCCATCTCCAGGTTATCTGCTTGTATTTGATTTGATTTTAAGTGTTTAATTTATTAATTATTTTGTCTGTTTCTAATAAAATATTGTAACTCTAAACCTCTTTACAGTTGGTAAGGTACTTTCAAATCCGTTAGCCCTTTTTTAAAAAAATATTTTTTTTATTGATTTTTTTACAGAGAGGAAGGGAGAGGGATAGAGAGTCAGAAACATCGATGAGAGAGAAACATCGATCATCTGCCTCCTGCACACTCCCTCCTAGGAATGTGCCCGCAACCAAGGTACATGCCCTTGACCGGAATCAAACCTGGGACCCTTCAGTCCGCAGGCCGACACTCTATCCACTGAGCCACACCGGCTAGGGCTTCGTTAGCCCTTTTGATCCCCATAACACCTCCATAGAGGACAGATAGGATATGCCTGGATTTTCAGATGCTGGAACAGAATTCTACAGAAGTTTACATTCTTTACAAGCAGCAGAGCCAAAACTGAACCTCATGGGCTATCAACTCTTAGTCCTAATTCCTTTTCCACAGCATCCTAATTCCTGAGAAGGAATGCATATAGGAACAGCCTACCTGGCTATTCCTTGCTGTGAGCTCTTGTTTCCTATCAATCTATTCCTTTTACTTCTGTTTCTGGATTAAGTGTCTAAATTAATAGAAAATGAATGCTCATCCAATTTAACTGAGCAATTCGCTTGAAATTGTTATTAAGTAAGAGCAGTGAAATGTGCAAATATATACAAAAATTAGAGGTATTATTGGGAAAACAGCAGTCGATACTGTTGACGGAATACTAACTCAGCTCCAGGTATCATTTCAAATTATTTATACTCATTTTCCCACTGGCCCCAATTTTCTGAACCATTCCTTTTTTAAAATTGATTTTAGAGAGATGGAAAGAGAGAGAGAAACATTGATGTGAGAGAGAAACATCGATCGGTTGCCTCCTGCATGCGCCCCGACCAGGATCAAACCCACAACCTTGGTATATGCCCTGACCTGGAATTGAACCTGCGACCTTTTGGTGCACGGGACAACCCTCCAACCAGTTGAGCAACCTGGCCAGGGCCATATTAATCTTTGAAGCTGCTTTAAATCATTTTGTAACAAGATGAGCTATAAATAAATTAATTAAAATAATGGATTATGTACACTGTGGTCAGCCTTACATAATAATAGGAAAATATTGCCGAAACCGGTTTGGCTCAGTGGATAGAGCGTCAGCCTGCGGACTGAAAGGTCCCGGGTTCGGTTCCAGTCAAGGGCATGTACCTGGGTTGCGGGCACATCCCCGGTAGGAGATGTGCAGGAGGCGGCTGTTTGATGTTTCTCTCTCGTCGATGTTTCTAACTCTCTATCTCTCTCCCTTCCTCTCTGTAAAAAATCAATAAAATATATTTTTAAAAAAATAATAGGAAAATATTAGCTACCCTTCTTGTGGTACATGGATGCACGTTTTTTAACTATGTCTTTTTATTCATTTGTAAATAGTGTCTCCAAGCCAAAATGGTATCCTGGGTCTTTCAGAAAGAAACTATATAGATAGACTTATAGCACTAACCTTTCCTATTTGCATTAGTTACCAAGTAAAAGTCACATATAATACATAAAACAAATCTCAACAATTACAATTGGTTTGCAATCAGGCCTAGTTGAATGAGTGAAAATTTTGAATTACAGGGTAGTTTAACAAAATTTATGGAAAGTTATTTTTTATTTTTTTAATATATTTTATTGTTTTTTTATAGAGAGGAAGGGAGAGAGATAGAGAGTTAGAAACATCGATGAGAGAGAAACATTAACCAGCCGCCTCCTGCACACCTCCTACTGGGGATGTGCCCACAACCCAGGTACATGCCGTTGACCGGAATCAAACCTGGGACCCTTGAGTCCTTCTCTCTTTTTCTCTCTCCACCCAAAATTAGCTAATGCCATCATTTCTGTCTGTACTTATCTCCAAGATCCAAATCGTTCTCATCAGCTCACCATTCTGCTGCAACACTCCAGCATCTTTCTAGATGTATCAGCAGTCCCTAGCTGCACTTCCTGCTTCTCCCTGGCTTTCCTGCAATCTATCATCAACTCAGCAGCCAGAACGATGACAATTCATGTTAGTCCTCTGCCCGCAACCTCCAGTGGCTCCACCCACTTAGATTGAGAACAGAAACCCTTATCTGACCCGTAAACTCCACAACATCTGGCCTGGCCACCCGCGCCACTTCCTATCGCGAGCCTCCTTCTCTCACTCTGTTCCCACCTCACTAGCCTCCTTCCTCTCACTCTGTTCCCACCTCACTAGCCTCCTTGCTGCTCCTGATTCCAGATCTTGCTGATTTTTTCTTCTGCTTGGAATGATTTTCTGCCATGGCTTCATCAACTTCGGTTCTCTGCTAAAAGTCAGGTTCTCTGTGGCCTGGCTATACTATTTAAATGGCACTCCTCTCCCTAGAATTCGCCATCTGCCTTTCTTTTTTAAAAAAATATATTTTATTGATTTTTTACAGAGAGGAAGGGAGAGAGATAGAGAGTTAGAAACATCGATGAGAGAGAAACATCGATCAGCTGCCTCCTGCACATCTCCTGCTGGGGATGTGCCCGCAACCCAGGTACATGCCCTTGACCGGAATCGAACCTGGGACCTTTCAGTCCGCAGGCCGACGCTCTATCCACTGAGCCAAACCGGTTTCGGCCATCTGCCTTTCTTAGCTTTGCTTTTCTCCATAGGGTTCGTGCTATGCTTTGTTTGTTTAATGTCAGGCTTCTCATATTCATGGTCAGCTCCTAAGGGACGAAGATTCTTGTCTGTTTGATTTGTATCTGAATCCCAGGTTCCAGTGCTGGCCAGTCAGTGAACATTCACTGAATATTTATGTGTTGAATTAAAGGAAGGAGGTGGGGAAAGGACAGAGGGAGAACATTGTCTAGGTTACACTTCACCCTTGAGCCCTTGAGCGTAGGGTTGGGGAACAGTTGGTTCTCCAGGGAACTTAGGGTATAACTGTTGTAAGAAGAGGGAAATGGGGGCTGGAAACAGATGACCACTCCAGAGAGACAATGCGGGTTTGAACTTGAGTCATTGCAGTTGGAATGGAAGACAGGGGAAGGAAGTAACGGGCATCATGGAGATGAGACCTCCTGACTCTGAGCAGGGAGTGGAAAGGACACAGAGAAGCTTGAATGCGACCCAGATGTTGCATTTGTGAGACGAGGGTTTGGCAATGGCATTCATAATGATTCAGGATAAAGTAGGAGGAACAGATTTATGAAAGAAAGAAACTGTTTTGTTGCTTTCTCATCCCTGTTTTCATTAATAAAATTATTTCCAGCTTCTCAAAACTCAAGAGGAATTGAGTTCTGCAAGAGGCAGGAGGCAAATTCTCCCACCAACCACTTATTCTCTGAAGACTTGTCCCCACAGTTCTTAAGAGTCTTATCTCCAAGCCCACATCTGAGAGAATCAGACTGGACATGTTTCTCTCAATAGTTTCAATTTCCTTTGGTTGAGCTACCAGCATCTACAGCATAGAAACCCACTAGAGCCGAGTTCAGTCTTTTCTTTTTAAAAAATATTTGTATTGATTTCAGAGAGGAAGGGAGAGGAGAGAGAGATCGAAACATCAATGATGAGAGAAAATCACTGACCGGCTGCCTCCTGCATGCCCCACACTGGGGATCGAGCCCGCAACCCTAGCATGTGCCCTGACTGGGAATCGAACCATGACCTCCTGGTTCATAGGTTGATGCTCAACCACTGAGCCATGCCAGCTGGGCCAGTCTTTTCTTGTAGAACATTTCCATGTGAGTGATTTGGGATCATAAGGCCATTTTCTAATGCACTGTAGGTTAGGCTTGGAAAAATATGGGACATTCATCTCTAGAACTCTAGTGAAGGCCTTGTCAGATAATGAAGCAAGAAATGTAACTGTTAATGGGCAAGGATGCAAGGAAGGCATGAAGACAGGCACTGAATAATAAAATGGCATGTGCAGATGTAGTAGTCTGCATTTTTTCAGTGTTTGCTATCTGCCAGGTACTATTCGAAGTCCTCAACATATAATTAATAAGTCATTTAATCTCCACAGCCACTGTTTGTGGTGCATACTATTAGTATCTCCACTTTACAGGTGAGGAAACAGAAATGTAGGAAGGTTATGTACCTGGCCGAAGGTCCCACAGTTAGCAAGTGGAACTAGGACTCAAACACAAGCAGTCTGGCTCAAGGACCTGTCCTCTTAATAAACTGATGACATGTTCCAGAACTGCCCAAGACAATTGTCACTTATGCCTATTGTCTGGGCATAAATATAAATATGAACCCTAGAAAGCGTCCCCACTTGGACAATAAATTATGAACACCGTGTCTCTGAGCTACAGTCTTTTTCTGATTCAAAGCCAAGAACAATCTAGTCTGAACAACAGAGGTAGCCAAGTGATCAGACTGTCTCTCCAGTCGTCGGTGAAGTGACAATTTGGACTCCATATGACTATTGGGTAATCATCCAGTTTGCCCTAAGAATTCAACTAGCTGTCGGAGTTGGCATCGACTTGGTTTTAGCCAACCAGTCATTCTGTTCTCTTATACTCTGAAGGCTCTGTTTTCTGCTCTAATGGAGCTGCCAGCGGCATGGCTGGCCTGTTTCTGGATGGTTTTATTGATGCCTCAACATTCGGCCCCTCCAGGTTCCCCCGGATCTGCAGAACGAGGTGCTGGTCAGCCTGCTGCAGACCGACCCGGACGTGGTGGACTATTTGCTCAGAAGGAAGGCTTCCCAGTCCTCGTGAGTATGCCAGTCCCTCCAGCCGCCTGGCGATTTCTCTTTCCATTTCGGAAAAGTTAGAAAAGTTTACAGAGCCCTGACCGGTTTGGCTCAGTGGAGAGAGCGTCGGCCTGCGGACTCAAGGGTCCCAGGTTCGAATCCGGTCAAGGACATGTACCTTGGCTGCGGGCACACCCCCAGTAGCGGGTGTGCAGGAGGCAGCTGATCGATGTTTCTCTCACATGGATGTTTCTAACTCTCTATCCCTCTCCCTTCCTCTCTGTAAAAAAATCAAGAAAATATATTTTTTTTAAAAGAAAAGTTTACATAACCACGCAGGGTGATTTGAAGTGCCATTTTGGCAACTGGCACAGCTGATCAGTCCACCTCACTAGAAACTGCTCCAGCCCCACCGATCCACTTATTGCATTAGGGACTGCTTGACAGGATATTTTTCATTTTCATGTTTGGCTTTTTGTAGTCCCTTGACGTCCTTTGGACTGTGTTTACCAGCAAAAAAAAAGCACTAAGTCCCTGGCAAGAAGCTCCAGGGGCAGACTAGGAGACACATTAGTGATTCTCCTTGCAGAATTCTGATAACTGTTCTTAGGGGCCCGTACGGCTGAGCCTGCCTGCGTCTGACATGTGTAATTTACCAGCACGAGTGACGCATCACCAAACCGCCAGACAGGCCCCAGCCCAGGCCCAGGTGCCATTTGAAATTAGGGTGGCACCGTCTTGACTCCCCCGCCCACTCTAGCTGGCATCCTTTGGATAAAAGTACACGCTGGTCTCCACGTGCATTGTAGTTGCATTGAGTCAAATGCAAGCCGTGCTGTGGGCTGCTGTGCCACCATTTTTGCCCCAAACCAGGAGCACTGGAATTTTACATGAGTCAGATTTTCTGATTCATTGAAACCATTGGCTACAGAGGCAGAGGATATGGGGGTATTGAGCACTTGTCAAATCCAGTTAAGGGGTAATAGTGCATCCATTACCAGGAGCGATGTTGCCACCATGACCCCCAGCCTTACATTTGGGAGAGAAAAAGTTGTTGCCCTAGCCCAGTGGTCGGCAAACTGCGGCTCGAGAGCCACATGCGGCTCTTTGGCCCCTTGAGTGTGGCTCTTCCACAAAATACCGACTTCTGCGCATGGGCCACGAAGTTTCAATCTCACTGTACGTGAAGTGAATAACAATGTACCTACCTATGTAGTTTAAGTTTAAAAAATGTGGCTCTCAAAAGAAATTTCAGTCATTGTAGTGTTGGTATTTGGCTCTGGTGACTAATGAGATTGCCGACCACTGGTCTATCCTATTCAATGATACCTTAGAAACATCAACACATGTGAAAGTGTCCCTTAATGCTGACGCCAAATGTGATGTGTTAATTTTCCTTTAAAACTACTCCCTATACAAAAATATTATATTCTTGAGAGAAATTTGGTGAAAAGGAATTCTGCGCTGCTCAGATCTCCTTCATTCCTGGGTCATTACACTAATAGCTCTGCTAAATCCAGCTGCCTGTCTCCTGCAGAGCGGGAGCAGTTTTAATTGGCTCATCCTTTCAAGTGCACTTTTGAAAAACCGTCTCTCTGCTGGTCATGATCAGGCCTGTGGTGGAAGGAAGACATTCTGCCCAATTCAAGGCCAAAGAGGTGCGAGCGAATAAAAGCGCCCTCCAATTACACAAATTGGCTGGCATTTCACGGTCTTGCTTTTCACATCAGAGAATTCGGTTCACTTAAAAGTTTCCTAGAATTGGAACTGTCATCCAGGTAGAAGTCCTCATTTGAAAGATCACATGGCTTTTCTTCACAGTGTAAGTCGCATCCCCAGAATTTTAATGAACTCGCTTGCTTCCCTTCTCTGCGCAAGAGAACATTATCAGAGGGCACGTCTACTTGCGAGTCTCTCATTAAGCTGCATTTGTAACATTTCGTGGCTACTCTGCGGGGGCAGCTAGAAAACACACCTAAAACAACCACTGGTTTTGACTCGCCAATTTTCTGTTGTTAAATGGCATTAGACTTTGAAGGATGGTTGATAAATAGTTATCGTTATGTGTTTTTCAAGTATGTTCTTTGCATAGAAATGCCAGGAAATGAACCTTTTATTCTCTACTCTAGCGTCTTCTTTTCGCTATCCCTGTGAAAATGGGGATTGTAAGGTCGGGGCAGGCTGACCCTAGAGCAGCGGTTCTCAACCTGTGGGTCATCACGACCCCTTTGGGGGGGTCGAATGACCCTTTCACAGGGGTCGCCTAAGACCATCGGAAAACACATCTATAATTACATATTGTTTTTGTGATGAATCACTATGCTTTCATGATGTTCAATTTGTCACAATGACATTGGGGGTCACCACAACATGAGGAGCTGTATGAAAGGGTCGCGGCCTTAGGAAGGTTGAGAACCACTGAGCTAGGGCGAGATCTTAGGTGAGTGTCAGGCTCCAGGGAAAAGGGGAGCTCGCGGGGCTCTGTGCTTGGCAGAGGCTGGCATTACCCAACAGGAAATGTGGAGAAGCCTTAGTAAGGAGAAGAGTGTTTTTCTCTTCAACGTACAGACCAAGACACAGCCCAGAAAGTCGATAATGATGGCATAAAGGGAAAATACATAAATTAATAAATAGACATTTCTTTTTAATGGCCTTTTGAGGCTTGAGAGTCGTATCCCTCGAGCTGCAGGGAGTCTGTTCCTGCCTTAAATGCGAGCTTCTCAGACTTTCCTGCGCATCCAGGTCAGCAGGGATCTTGTTAAAACGCTCTTTCTGAACCGGTAGGTGTGGGGGAGGGAGTCTGAGAATCTGGTTTCTCGCAAGCTCCCAGGTGATGCTGTGATCCACACTTTGAGCAGCGAAAGCTGCAAACATCAAGACGCGTTCTGGACTTCAGGAGTTCACAGACTTGTAAAGGCTGTCCCAAAATTCACGCAAGATTTGAATTTTGCGTGAGCATTAACAACAACAAATAAAAGCCTAATTTGACTTGGTTTATTGAATCAGATTCTAATATCTGTTGCCCTTTGATGTCAATCCCTTCAATTTGATAAGCATGACCAAGCACCAATGATGGCCCAGGAGCAGGGACAATGAAGGCCAATGAAGACCATGGCTTTGCGTAAGTGCCAGCAAAGCCATGGAGGCCATTGACCCGATGTGCTATTCCATACATAACCCTAGACTGTATCCTTTATTAATCAATAACAAATTTACATTTTTTAATGATAAACCTGTGTTTTCTATCAAAATTACTTCTTGCGTGAATTTTGGGACACCTCTTAGAAGGAGGCCGACAAGGGTCAAAATAGTAGGAGGTGTGTGATTAAAGATGGCACGGAGTACAAAACGGGATGTGCTGGGCCAGGGGGCTCAGACTTGCCTGCCCAATCGGAACCACCCGGGAGCTTGAAGAACAAGTCCGCCCGGGCACCACCCCTAGAGATTCTGACTCGTTTGTTCTGGACAGAAGTGTGGACATGGGGATTTAAAAAAAACAAACCCATGTGGTTCTATTGAGCAGCCAGGGGTGCGAATCTCTGGCTTAGATCCTCCGCAATAGACACTACATAGTTCCTGTCACAGGGGGTGAATTTTGACATTGAAAAGGGGTCTTTGGGTTGACAAAAGAAGGGAACCCATACTCCACACCATAAATCCATGATAATGATAGACCGCAGTGGTAACGAATGATAGTGACCCAGCCGCCAGATGGTGCTGGCTACCTTGGTATGTCCATTATCCATCAATAGCACAGCCCTGAATGGAATAGCATGCTTCTGGCAAGCTTTGTATGCAGAGCCAGATGACCTGAGTTCAAGTTTTTGTTCCACTGCTATTAGCTGTGTGGTCTTAGATGAATAAATTCATCTCTCTCTCTTCCTCAGTTTCCTCATCTGTAAACTACAGATAAAAACTTTTAAAAACTTTATAGAGTTGTGCTATTAGAATAGTATATGTTTTTAGGGTTTTTTTTGTTTAAATATATTTGATTTCAGAGAGGGAGAGGGAGAGAGAGATAGAAACATCAATGATGAGAGAGTCATTGATCGACTGCCTCCTGCATGTCCCCTATAGGGGATCGAGCCCACAAACCCAGGCATGTGCCCTTGACTAGAATCGAACCCGGGACCTTTCAGTCCACAGGCTGACCCTCTATCCACTGAGCCAAACCGGCTAGGGCAGTATATGTTTTTAAATAAATGCTACTGATTACTATCATGTCACCTCAAGTTTCACCATTTTCTTCATGTATAACTACTTACCAAAGACGTGGGCATCACTAGATTTTACCTTGCTACCCAGCAGATAGCAACCTATGAAGGCAATATGGCATAAGAGAGACTCCATCCACGTTAAGTTGTGTGCAGTGTCTAAAGGCAGCCCACCGCCCTAGCTGTTTTGGCTCAAGGAATAGAGCATTGGCCTGCGCACTGAAGGGTCCCGGGTTTGAATCAGGTCCCTTCGTTGCTGTTTTTTTTTTTTCTTGAAGCTTCTGTTCTTTGCCACCAGTTCACATATACCTAAAAAAAGGCTTCAGATCCTGTGCCCCACGTGGGAACTGCACAAGATTTGGAGTGGAAAAGTAACTTTTCAAAAGAGTGTAGAACCAAGAAAAAGACCAGATTTATTACAACTTCTGTCTTGAAAGATCAAACACTCAGTGGTGCTTGGGAAGTTCCTGTTTTGGTGGGAGTTTTTCTCTTCTTTATGCAACAATAGAATTGGCGGAGTGAAAGGAGGATTCATTATTTTTCTCCTGCTTGCCTGCTTACATTTTTGGCGTTGACTGAAACATAATGCCAAAGGGAGAAAAGACATTTCTGTTACTAACAATGAAGACTTTAGGTTTTAAAATTGCTTGTCTGGTATATTCATTAGAATGATATGCTCTTTTCTTCAAAGATCCTTAAACTAAAAGCCCCTCCTTGGATTTCGGGATGTAAGGAAATGGGGAATGATAACGGAAGGTTATCAGAGGACAGGGTATGTGGAATACAGGCATTTGCAACAGAACAAGG